GGTTGCAATGTAAATTGTAGTTGATAATAAAGTTTGATTGATTGATTGACATAATTAGACTTACATGGAATACATTGCAGCCATTAGCATTAAGCTATGATTGAGCTCAATGCAGAAGGTATAAAGAACCGTTTTAATTTTATACACACATTTTATAACATAAGGTTACCAGCTAAAAATATATATATATATTTTTTTCAAGCCGGATATATGACACGGATGTTACGCAAAAAGTAATAGATACCTCTTGAGTGATACTGATTGGTTTACTGTAGTTCACTACAAATAAACATCACTATATAATCATTGTATGTAGACAGTCTCTCTGTGCTCTCTGGCTCTTTATAATGTTTTGCATATTTAATATTTAATTTAATATTTTATACATGCATATTTAACAAATTGCCAGTATCTATTGGTCTAATACCATGCTCACATTCGAAAGGATGTTCATTATCTTATCGATCAGAACATTTTAAGAAAAGATGAAACATCAGATTCAGTTTAGTTAGATGAACAGCTCACCTGAAACCATCGGCTAGTTTGCTTTTTGTTTGATGGCAGGTGTATTTTACGGAATGATGGTGTTAGGAATCCAGTTTGTGTGGGTTGTTTTTGTGTTTTTCTCACTCTCCACCACCAGGTGGTGCCCTATCCTTGTTTGTCCTCCTGCACACCTGCGGCTCGTTGGTTCATCACTGAGGAGTATTTGAGCAGTTGACTGCCACTACCTCCACGCCAGACTGTTTGCCAGTTTTGGGTACTCTAGCCAAGCTGAGATTAGCTGAGTCTACCTGAGCCTTTGTTTCACTGAGTTTAACTTTGTTTTTTGTCTTTGTCTTTCGACAGGAAGCCTTCCTGCAAACAGGATGTTTGGCCTTCTCTCCCTGGAAAGATTGTTTGTGTTCACACTGAGCAGGGGAAAAAACCTCCACACGACCAGTTCAAGTTCCCACGGAAATCCAAGTGGCAGTCCGCTCAATTGCTCCTCAGGGTCCAACCAAAACCAACCTGTCCACCCTCCAACGAGTACCCCTTCCTCTGGATAAACCCACACATTCTGGATTCAAGGAGAAGAAAGAAACCCCCTCCAATGTGAGTCCAGTTTTCACATTATTCAACAACTCAATCCAATTTCCTACGGCCCCTGAACTAATCTCTGTGAACTTCCCTTTTCACTTCTAGTTCCGATTCACCAGCTCTCTGAGTTTCAGATTCCACCCCCTGTGGTTCATCTCAATAAACCTGTTAAACGGTTCCCCTGGTTCTCTGAGTGTTTTTTTTGCACGTGAGTCACATCTCTTAAAAGATCATGACAGATGGTGCATAAATTGTACCATCAAACAACACAGACCTTTTGTTTTGTACACTGCTGATCATACTTTTGTGTTTTAACACAATTTTCACTGAATATTAATGTTAAACCTCTTTAGTGCAGCAATACAGTTAACATATTTTGTAAATACAGCAGAGGTACATCTTATAACTCAATAACTGTAATTCCTTCAGTACAACAGAAAAAAGGTGTAATATTAGCCAGAGAAAACACAGTGTACTGTAGTATGACTGGAACCTAAAGTCTAATAATTGCTTTCTGAAAACAGCCTCATTATAGGCAGAGCTGCGATGAGAGGTTTCAATTCCTTATTAGGGTTAAATCTGTCTGTAGCTGCAGTAGCTGCAGAGATAAATCAAGGCACTGAGTCTTTATAAAGTTTGACCTGCAGCACACAAACGAGAAACTGTTTCAGTTCCATTTCAAATGCTTTCCACTCATATGCGCTTGTATAGCTTGTTTCCATAGTGAGTGTAAAAGGCCCAGTTAAGGTTGGGCCCACATTCATATGATTTAAATGGTTTTAGAGATTAAAATTAAAAAGTGTTATGTTGAAGAAGAAAAACAGCTTTTGTAATCATGCTTGGACATTAATCAATGTCAAGTTAAAAGACCAACTCACTCGATCTTCTTCCTGCAGCTTAAAAAAAAAGAATTCAAAATCAGAGTGTTATAAAATGTAAATGCTCATTGGGTCTCTTACCTTTATTTCCTAATAGGTTTTCGGATAACATTGGCATAGATGTCGTTTATCTGCATCTCATGCTGAAAAAAATGGACAGAATAGTTTTATCCACTGTAGAGACAGTCGACATCTTTGTAAGTACAGCAGCTCATCCTTTAAATACTAACCTGCAAGAATTTTATTATTTATCTCTTTATTTAATTTACTATAAATATTAAGCTGCATTCTGTCTCAACAGCCCACACTGGGTGGCGTCTTTTAATACAACCCTAAGTGTTGCTGTAAATGCATTACTTTTTCAACACTGTAGACTACTTTCAAAGTTGCATTTTACAGCGATACCCCAAATATGTTGGGATTTGTTTTCTTTGCAGTTCTCCCCCTCCTCTGTAAGTACACTCCTCTGCTAAATTATCCTACAGTCATCGTGAGGCCATCTTTCTATACCTCAAGCTAGAGCCAAACTGGGTGGTATTACTGGTCAATGAAAGAAACAATGAAGGATAAAAAAGAAATCTGGTCTATACTTGTACTACTGTTAAAATTAAAAGAGAGAAGTCGATAGATGGGGAAATAAATAAGGTTGGAACAATAAGCTGAAGCAGATGTGTCTGGTCTTAAAGGTATAGTGGAGGATTTTTTTGTGATTTTTTTTGAGAAGACCCACCCTACCAACTTAAGAAAAAAAAAAAATGCACATACACAACCCTGTACCTGCTCCCGAGAGGCAACGCCTATTAAACACGTACAAGAGCAGAGCAACTTATTTTGATTATCCACTCGGAAAAAGAAAATCCTCCACTATACCTTCAAAAGCTGTGCACCAGATGTTTATTATTGACAGTAAAGCTGTGGTTGTTAATGTTGGAGAGCTAGTGAGATGTTAAAGCTACACCCTCCCCCGCACACTTGAACTTTCACAGCAGAACTGGGCAAAGCAGAGGGGAGCAGACTCAGCCATTACTTCAAGGTGAATGGTGCCTCAATCACATTGAAGTAAACTAGATTTTTACTTGTTGCTTTAAAAGTAGCTAGCTTTTAAAGTAGCATTTTAAGTTTAGAAATAGTCCCACTAACCATACAAGTTTTGGCAAGTTCCGTTTAGCACGAGTTTTGCAATGACGTGTTGTGAATATTTCCGGCAATAGCCAAACATGGCGAGCGTGCAAATAGAGGAGGAGGGAGAGAGATGACGGCATCTGATTTGTTTCCATTCAGATAGAATGGCTGCGATTGGTCAGAGTTTTCACAGTCTTGCAGCTCTCACAGACGTCTGATTTTTTTGTTCCTTTTTCTGAATACATAAAGTATTAAGTACTCATAGGAAGGAAGGCCTTCAATACAACAAAAAGTATTTCTGAACAGATTGCTATATCTCTCTTTAATACTGAAATAAAAAAAATATCTCTGTCACAAACAAAACTGCTACTGCGTTTCACTAACTTCTGAAATTAAAATCCACATCTCCTTCAGTGCAGCTATATGTTCGTATTTTTAAAACTAAGTGTTAAATTTTTTCATTCTTTGTCAAGTTTAGAAAAGAGGAAGCAACTGCATTCATTTCCTTTGAGTTTACACTTCATGAGCTGCAAAGGCAATGCAGAAGTATCATAACTGTGTTTACGGTCAAGCATGGTTGCTAGTTTCCCAACAATATTTAAACATACTAAGAGTTATTTGCTTTGCAGGTTGTTAACTCTACAGGAAATGTATTGGACTGCATCAATACTCACAAAGTGAGGACCTTCACAGGTTGAATCTTGACCTGCATCAAAAGAAAATTGATATTTTTAATTGTTTTCATTTACATTTTAAAGATAGAAAACCCACTTCTGCTTTTCTCTGAACTACTGCTTCTGCACAATGTGTTGGTTACTAGGAAGACAGTTTCAAATAAATCCTTTAAGAGAGTTAGATGTGAGAAGGAGAACTAAAATAAAGCTGTTCTGCAAAGGCACGGGGCTTGTTGCTACACACCATGCCAAGCTTGCAACCCACAAATTAAAGGGGCCTATGGCTTTATTAAAATTTTTACCCTTCATATTGAGAAAAAAGAACAAAAACATACTGACACACACAAAAATGAACAAATTTGTTGGTATTAATGTTGTATTAAAGAAACAACACAGATATTTTGCTCACCAATGAGTAAAAACCATGGTTACAGAGGAACCAAGGCTCTTTCAGCAAGGGTTTCTGGGCTGTTAATGCTTCAGACTTGCACAGGTCAATCGGCAATGCTATTAAATTAGCCTGTTTTCACTTGGTCAGCCGAGACCTGCTACTGGCTTGTCTTTATGAAGACAGCTGATTTTTAGCACAGTTTGTTGCATTTTTCTCTCTTAGGCATGTTTCTCTTGCCCTTGGTCTTTTGTATGTTTTTCAGATGGTGCCATAACTGGTGTACAGTAGGTACCTAATCTGCAGGGGACCCTGCCCCTGCTGATGACAACGCCACCCAAACAGATTGCACCCATTCCTTAAAGGTACAATGGAGGATGTTCTTTTTGCGGGTGGATCATCAAAATAAGTGATCCTCCTAATTGTCGATCATTCTGACGATATGTTTATATAAGGCGGTCCTACGTGCTTGTCCCCATTTTCTTTTACCAGTGGTGAGTCTGACATAGTGAAATCTCCTTTTGGACAGGAATAACATAGAGCAGATGGCGCTTCAAAATTGAGCATTAATCAAAAATATCTGCGAAAAGCTCAATGCGACACACTGCGGTGGGAAGATAACCAGCCCTTAACAATACAGATGTTACTGACTTGGCACACAAGTCAGTAACATTATTATGGTTGTCTGGGCAACAACATTGCTTTACGTCATCGTAGGAACGTTTAGCCAATGAGGTACTGTAACGTCACGGGAAAACGCAGGGCCTGAGCAGATCTGTTTCTTACACTGGGACGAGACAGCCAGCCGTGTCCCCCTCTACACAACCACAGCGGCAGATGCGGCTTCCTGCTGCTAGGTCAGGGAGACAGCTGAGGTCCATAGCGGTAGAAACTTTGCTGGCTCTCATCTACAAAGAGCTGTCTTTCCTTACCTGTTTACAGGTTTTTCTGCAATTGCTTTTTAGAATTCTTTGCTTAAAGTTGTTCATAGTTTTAAACTGAAAAAAGCTTGTTTATGTACAACTGTTAAAAGTTTCCACTATCAGTGTTGTACATGAACGCCTTCAATTAATGGCGTTCACTGAATATGTTCCTATTTTTAGTGAACGGTGAACTGAAATGATAAGTTTTGAAGTAATTAAACTAAATGAGAGCGACTTTAACTCTGAAAATAATGAGCGGCAAATGTAGCCCACTTTTGTGTTCAATTGATAACGACAGTTTTCATTGGATAACATCAGGTTCTATGGCACTTACTACTGCAAACAGCATGGCAGACCAGCATGTCTACTGCTAGTAGTAGTCTGCTCTATTCAGACTCATCTGCTGGTATTTCTGATGCTAGTTTAGCAGTGCGCTTTGCAGAGATTTATGAAATAACAAAGGAAGACTTGGACAGAAAAAAAAAAAAAAATAAAAAATTTCTGCAAACTGCCCACCGGGACGTAATAAACAAGTCCAAATCTCAGCCATGTCCACTTCAAATTTAAAGTGACAAAGGGAGTTAAAGCATCTGAGTTATCTTTGGAAATATCTACTACTGAATGAGGAATGTCCGAAATTATTTTGTTCCCGATCTTTTCAGCAGAACCTGAATGTTCCTGTATGTTTCTAAAAGTCGTAGGACAACGGCTGTTCCAAACGTTGCATTTCCGTTTTCTCCCAAGTGGTGCCCGACTTTACATGAGTGAATAAAGTGAACCTGATTGGTCGATTATCAAGGGATTTTTGTGGCGGAAGGTTCTCAACCATCTTCGGTTGTGGCCAGTTTGTCGGAAGCATCTTGCTAACCAGTTAGCAACTTAGTTCTAGTAGAATCCCAATAGGAAATTACATTGGGACCAAGTAGTATTTAGCAATGACACTGTCAAAGAACGCTATGGACAGCGATAATAAATTATTCAAATATCTTATGTCAACCGTGTGTATTAGCTTCGACATATGAAACAAGATGCTATGACCTAAAACATTTGATTGACAGATGACCGTTGATCTATGATTGGCCAAATTTAGGTGTACAGGCTGACGTATAACTAACTGGCCTACATAAAATAACAAAACAAAAAACCCCACAGATTTTAAGACAGGATTTTTTTTAAAAATAGACATTTTCTAACTTTTGGGACAATATCATCTGATAAAGAGAACATTTATATACATGTTTAAGCCAGAATGATTTGACATTTAAATAGGACTTCCCTACAAGTTTAAGTTCTTTGCAATTTGGCTAAATAACGGCTTCACTGCACATCCAGTATACCTTGACTGCATCCAGCATTTTCCATTTCTTTCTATATATTATGATCACACATTTAAAGGGGGAAATATTAGGTTCTATTGCTGAGGATTATGGCTTAATTTACCAAATGAACTTGAACTGGTTGATTTATAGGTTAGTGAACTTAGTCCTACTCATTGTCATCTGTGTGGACTGAATTTTTAACTCTAGATTTAGCTCATATTGAAAGGTCAATAGGCCTACCTGCTGTTGTATTGTCCTGATTAACTCTGGTTTTCCTTCGTCTGATTAAAATAGCAGCCGGAACAACCAGCAGTAGAGGCACAAACACTGCTACAGAGATGGTGAGGATGACGATAATGATGATGTTGGAGTATTTGCCAGGAAATGCTCCTAGGACAGAAAGATTACAAACCATGACATTTTTAGTTTTTATTTAGCAAATTCTATATTTTCCTATATGTTTAGAGTTTTTAACCTTCAGCAGAACACAATGTCAATGACAATCTTAAAATCTTGTTTGCCCACAAAACAATATCTTCTTAAAAATATTGTCTACTTAGAGAATTGATGACTACACCACAGACTTTAAAACAGAAGAAAAATAATTACAGTTGTAATCAATAATGCTTTTTGTCTCATTTAGTCAGTAAAATAAAAAGGCAGCCTACCTTTAAACGCAGCTGTGTAGTGAGCTTCTACCTTTATGCTGTTTTTTTCAACAAACTGGCAGGTGTATTTTCTGTTGGTGATGCTTTTATGCTGCACATTCAAATAGGAAATACAGCCTGAATCCTTCTGAAAAACACTCAGTTTAGTTCCCGTCTCATCCAACCAGTGGAAACTGTTCACTGGACAAGGAGACGACTGACTGAATTTCTTCATAGAACACTGTAATGTGACATCTCCATCCTTTGTTGGCTCAGCATCTGGTGAAGATGGAGAAACTGGAAGGAAATGAAAAATAGTTGTCTTTTACTTAAAGATGTAACAGAAACTCTGTAAAATTGGAAGCTTAAAAAGACAACTTTATCTCATGCTTTGAAAAGTAGAATAAAAAAAACTAAATAGTAATTAGCTTGTACTTTTAGTGTGCTTGTATCAAGTAGAGGACTAAAGAGATTTAGACTATGTTCAGTTATTTACACACTAATGATGTTGTGCTACATGCAACAACAGCCAACCATCTGAACATTAACAGCAGGTAAGGCGGGTTAAGTGTCTTGCCCAATAAAAAGCACAGGGGAGTGGCAGCCTAGTGGTTTGGGCATAGAGCTGTAAGCCCTGTACTATGTGAACAACTGTGATTTTTGTAAGTGACTCTAGGGTCGGGGACCCTTCTTTGTTTCTTTGGTGGTATTAATTTTCCTTGAAATGTTTGCGCCCTCTGGTCTCTCCCCTTTTATGTGTTTACCCGCGGTAGAGGTGACTGCTGTTCATTTCTCATCAGAATACATCAAGTTGAGGGTGCGACACCCAACAAAATCTCAGAAACTCAACAAAAAACACAGTTAGAGGCAGAAATAAGATTTAAAAACCACACTGAGTTTGATTTGATCATTATTAGGTATAAAAACAATCATCCATGAAATGAATGAGCCTTTTTCAATATCAGATATCAGAATGTGGACTGATGTGTGGTTGAAGCATCACACAGAGCTGAATAAATGATTGGTTCACACTCTGACAGAACAACATTTGAACTTCTGACTGCATCAGATATTCATCAGAACTATTGATGTCAGAAACATCTGTCCAACACAAGTATTTCACAATGTTAATGAGAAGGAAAGAGTCTGACAGCATCAGATCATTCAGGTCTACATACTCACTGGTCAGAACGTTCAGAAACACAGAGCCATCATAAGTGGATCCTGAACCAAGTCGACAGTAATAACTTCCAGCATCTTCAGCAGTGATGTTGTTGATGATCAGAGAGCAGTTACTGTCCACATTTAACCTGGCAGCTCGAGGTGATGGAACAACTTTTCCATCCTTAATCTGCTGTTGATGATTAATGTTTGAATCTCTGTCATAAAACCAGTTAACAGTGGAGCACGAGGAAGAAGATGAAGAACTGCTACAAGGTAGAATGACATCATCTCCAGATCTGTAATACTTAAAATCTCCTCTGGTGCCTGCAGTAAAGACAGTAAAGTTGGACATAATTCATCATAACAATTCAACACAATTGTGAAGCTGAAATGAGACAGTCATTTATTTGCATTATTATCTACAATATTTTGTTAATATTTTTACCCATTTTCATGTCATCAGTTATTGACATCTTACACCAATGTTAGGTGTTAACATTCAGACAGCATAAGAAAAAAATACAATAAATCTAACTTTTCTGAACTTCCTTTTCACAAATGCTGGGTCAAAAAGTGAATTGCTGCTACTGCTGCTTAAATTAACTCTTGCAAGTATTTTCATCCCTCTTTGAACTGCCGCTATAAACCAGTGTGTCCTTTAATTTGTCTCAGCTTCATTCAAAAGTAAGCAGATCTTTACCTTCAAACTGAAGAACAACGATCAGAATCAGTTCCAGACCCAACATCTCCTGTCCTTCTATCAGCTGCTGAACACTGAGAGACGTTTCTCTGCAGCAGATCTGAAAATACTGATGCTATTTCCTCTTTATGATTGAATTAATGTTTAAGAAGAAATTCACACCAACACCCACATGTTATCGTAAGGATGTCGTCACACTTGTGTCTAGTAGAAATATCACATTAGTAAATACTGCCCCATACAGTTCAAGGGGAGCGTTGGCCTAGTTGTTAGAGCAGTGCTGTGAGAAGGTTGCATGCACCCGGTTCGATCCCCAGGGCCAGAGCCTCCACTTAAGTTTCCTGAGCAAAACCCTCAACCTAAGTCTGCTCCACAAGGGGATGGTTTAAATACAGAGGTAAATTTCTCCAATGTGAGATTGGGGAGTGGCACCCTAGTCATTAGGGCATTGGAATCCAGAGTTCAAACCCCACTCCCCCAGCCTGCCACTCTGGCTCACTGAACAAAGACCTTTGACCCCACACTGTTCCCTGGGCGCCGCACAATGGCAGCCCACTGCTCCCAAAGGAGATAGGTTAAATGCAGAGAGTTTGTTTCCTTACTCTGTACTTGTGACAGTGTAATGACAATAAAATGCTCGGGGAAAAAAAGGAAATAGCTCCTTGACTGCTTATTCTACTTATCAAAGTGTGCATCAGATAGCTCAAAGTAATTCAAATTGAGGAGTTAGAATTTTCTGTCTGTATGATTTGATTGATTCATCTCTTTAAAGGAGAGTGGCTGACAGGTTCAAATGCAAAGCGCACGGTGAAACATGCAGGATGCAAACACCGCTGTGAAGTTAGTTTGAAGTAGGATATTGGATTTTCAAGCTCCCTGTAGTTAGCGACACCTATCTGCAGATTAGGGAATTAAGACCTCGACCAGATGCTCTCTGTTACTTCCTCTTGTCATGTGCAGTGGTTGACTAGGCACCTCTAAATTTTGGTTTCTGTTGTCAGTGTTGGGACGTTACTTCGAAAAAGTAATTAGTTATAGTTACTAGTTACTTCTCCCAAAAAAGTAACTGAGTTACTAACTGAGTTACTCCACAATAAAAGTAAGTAGTTAGTAGTAAAAGTAAGTATTGCATTACTTTTGCGTTGCTGGCCCCCGTAACCCTCACCACCCGGCCCCCACCTTCTCGCCGTGTTTCAAAAGCCAGCTGAATAGAGTGGATGACAAAGACAAGTACCTGCAGAGAGTTTTTTTTTATTTATTGCAACTCAATGTAAATTACATCAGGGGGAAACGCTACCTGACGGGCCTATAAACCCCTTTCCTGTCACTCATGCAATTAATCATGCCGTCTGCGCTGTGCGGAGATGCAGGGGAAACCGTATCTGATGGGGAAACGCGGCTCGATTAAACATCGGTATTTCCATCTGGAAAACGCTGTTTTGCTGCTGGAGTCCTCCTCACTCTCCATCTCTCTGTGTGTGCTGTACGTTAACACCTGCCAGCGCAAACACCCACCTACCCAACTGACAGATGTAATCTCACTATACATCAGCAAATCTCATCCCCACTCTCATGACAAGGCACGCACGAGTCCTATCATAAAGAAAAGGTTCATTGTGCGACCTGAGTAACGTGAGGTAACGGGGTGTCGGCCACGGTAACTGAGTTATAGTTGCAGGCAAAGTACTTAGCCAGATTACCTCGTTACTAAAAAAAGGTTTCTTTCAACACCGTTACCCCCATCAGTGTCTGTCGTCTACTAAAGTGCTTCATTACCTCCTTATCATGGTCTTGGTTCTGTTGTGCTTTACTTTGCTACTTGTCTTCTAGTTTTATTGGTTAAATTCCTATTTTGTTGTAGTTTCTAGATTTATGTTCTCAGGTTTTTCTGCGGTTTTCCTTTTTGCCCTCTTGTGTGTGTTCCTTTTCCCTTGGCTCCCTTGTTGTCTCCTGTCACACCTGCTTCTTGTCAGCTCGTTAGCCCTGCCTTTGTCTCAGTCAGCTACATATACTCTCCCTCTGCTATACTGCTCCCTTGTCTTTGCTGTCCTCCCATGCTGTTGTCTTCCTGCCGAGTCTCTCCCTGGCTCCTCGTGCTTGGTTTCCCTAGATGTCTCCATAGTTCTGGTTTGCTTTTCATTATTAGTTGGATTTTTGGATTCCTGCCTTTGTTTAATGTTTCTCTCCTTTAAACTACATAAGTCTCCTCAGCCTCTCTGCCTCTGTATTTGGGTCCCCAAACCACAACCTAACCTTGAAAATAGGAACCAACCAAAATGGACCCAGCAGAGCCCAGTCTGGACACCCTGAGGAATTTTTTCATCAATCTAGGCAATACTCTGGACTCAATATTCAATCAAACACCGCCTTGGAAGAGGGTGAGTGCGGCTGGGTGAGTGCGGCTGGCCAGCTAAAGCAAATTTTCCTCACAAACTCCCCCAGTGTTGTCTGAACTGTTTTAAGAGTTGGAGTGGAACCACCAAGCAGCCAGCGCCGAACTCTTCAACAGACCTCCACCACCCAAACCATCACTTCGTCTCCTTCCTACTCTGCTTTCAATCGCCTCCTCTCAGGTAGGTCAGCCAGACGCCTCCACCTTCTCTGTGGCGGGTCAGCCTGACGCCTCCACTTCCTCTCCGGTGGGTCAGCCTGACGCCTCCACTCCCTCTCTGGAGGGTCAACCTAACGCCTCCACTCCCTCTCCGGCGGGTCAGCCTGACCCCTCCACTCTCTCTCCGGAGGGTCAACCTAACGCCTCCACTCCCATGGGTCAGCCAGCTTCTAGCTTTAGCTCCCCTCGTAACCAGGTCAGTTTTTCCCTTAGTCTCAGTCGTCACCTCCATGACCAACAGCTAGCCCCATCTTTGAAGAGACTCAAATCGGTACCCATGATTACACCCCCTGCAGTCAGAACTCCCCATCTAGAGGAGTCTCAGTTATGGGGCTTGTTTTATGGGGAGAGGGAAGATCTTTTCCCTTTCCTGCCACCTCCATCAGCTTCAGTGCCCATTAGCAGGCCAGTTTCCCTAGGTCCAGTGCCCATTAGCGGGCCAGTTTCCCCAGCTTCAGAGCCCATTAGCGGGCCGTTAAGCCTAGCTCCAGTGGCCTCCGAGCCCCTGAGCGAGCTCTGTGCCGTCCAGATACCCCTGAGCACACTAATAAAAGGCTCTCAGCCTTCAAGGCCCCTCAGCGGGCGCGTCAAGCCTCCAAGGCCCCTCAGCGAGCGCTCCAAGCCTCCTCTGAGGCTGTTCCTGCTGCTGCGTCTGAGACGGCAACCCCTGCGGCTGCTGCTGCATCATGTTGCCATCGGCCTCCTCCAGAGACCCTCCTTCGTCAGAGACAGCGTCCCCGTCAGCCTCCTCCAGAGACCCTCCTTCGTTAGAGATGGCGTCGCCGTGGACCTCCTCCAGAGACCCTACTTCATCAGAGACCCGGCGTCGCCGCCAGCCTCCCCCAGAGAACCTCCTTCGCCGCCAGCCTACCCCAGAGGCCCTCCTTCGCCGCCGGCCTCGTCGAGGGGCCTCCCTTCGTCAGAGATGGCCTCGCCTCCGGCCCCACGGCCGGCCTCCAGAGACTCTGCCTCACCTCCTGGGATGGAAAGGTTGTTGGATGAAAGGTTATTTTAGGCTTTAAAATTTGATGCTAATTGGAATCTAGATGAAATGATGTTCTCCTCACCTTGAAGGTCCCGTCCAGGCAGGTACAGAGGAGACAGATCAACAATCTTTTCTCACAAGAACTTACAAGGGCTTTATTTCGTTTAAAACTCTTGAGTTTAATAAAGTCCACATATTTACAACTGTAACAAAGCTCCATAACTCAGTAACTGTACAATGCTGCTCCGAAACCCTCATCATCACTTAAATACAATAGCAAAACTTCAATATAAGCTATAGATGATTATTTTTGCCTCGGCGGAACCTAAACCCAAATGTCTACTTCCTGTAGCAGTTTTAATAAAGGTAGAGGTTTGAGATTTTTAATTTCCCTATTTAGATAGTTTGGGCTCAGAGACTTGGCTGTAGAGACTGTTAGGATCAATGTCTTCTTCTCTCTTCTGTTTAGTCCTAACAGCAGAATAAGTCACAGTTTCTTCATCTTGTTTGACCTGAAAAAACAAACCAAAACTGTTTCAGTTCCTGTTAAAGACTTTCCACATGTATGTGGTCATCTAAAGTGTTTCCATAGCCAATAAAAAATGTAAAACACAGTTTAGTTCGGCATACATTCACATGATATTTAACAGGTTAATATTGAAATAAAAAATAAAATCTCCTCTTTACAAAAAAAAAAAGTGATAACATGGAACCATATTATGTGGGGTGCCACCAGGGACATAAATCAAAAATTAACTTCCATCTNATCTATCTATCTATCTATCTATCTATCTATCTATCTATCTATCTATCTATCTATCTATCTATCTATCTATCTATCTATCTATCTATCTAGCTATCCAGATTTCTCCCTTTCTTCATAAATGCTAACATTTGAACGTGCACGCTCTCCGTAGTTCTCCTGTGGCGCGAGCACAGGGCAGCTGTTACGTGCCTTTAGCGTGTATGCAAATTTCCTGTTGCTTATGCAGTTAGTCATGCTGTGCGGAGAAAAAGGGAAAACCGTATCTGATGGGGAAACGCAGCTCGACTAAACATCGGTATTTCCATCTGGAAAACGCTGTTTTGCTGCTGGAGTCCTCCTCACTCTCCACTCTCTGTGTGTGCTGTACGTTAACACCCGCCAGCGGAAACACCCACCTACCCAACTGACAGACGCCCCCCCTCTCTCTCCGGAGGGTCAACCTAACGCCTCCACTCCCATGGGTCAGCTAGCTTCTAGATTTAGCTCCCCTCGTAACCAGGTCAGTTTTTCCCTTAGTCTCAGTCATCACCTTCATGACCAACAGCTAGCCCCATCTTTGAAGAGACTCAAGTCGGTACCCATGATTACACCCCCTGCAGTCAGAACTCCCCATCTAGAGGAGTCTCAGTTATGGGGCTTCTTTTATGGGGAGAGGGAAGAGCTTTTCCCTTTCCTGTCACCTCCATCAGCTCCAGTGCCCATTAGCCGGCCAGTTTCCCTAGGTCCAGTGCCCATCAGCGGGCCAGTTTCCCTAGCTTCCGAGCCCATTAGCGGGGCACTTTCCCCAGCTTCAGAGCCCATTA